GAGTTCGTAGTCTTACTCCTTAATTACAAGAAAATTCCAAGCAATACCAGAACTGCTCTCATGTGTCGACTAGGGGAGCACGGGTGGTGGGGGAACAGGAGCCAGGCAAAAATCCACAAAAGCATCCCGTGAAGCCCTGGTCTCTCTGGAATTTACACCAAAGTCCTGTCCACTAGTATTTTTTGTTAATTGTTCGCTACATCCTGGGTGTCAATTTAGCTAATAAACGTATGGGCCCATATATGCACCTTTTGGGGGAGCCCTTGAGAACCAGGATTGTGTGCTATCTGTTATCACATGATATCAGCACAGCATCATCTTTGTTATCTGTGTACCACTGTCCTTCACATCATCTTAGATCATAAACTGTGCAGGCATGCTGGCTCTTCTTTCCCTGGAGAGCAGGGTCCTGACCATTGGCCAGTACATCCTTGCGCATGACCCTGTCACCACCTCCTGGCAGAACTCAGACCCTGAAACATTGGCTGGACTCACACCCAAAACCTAGGTGTCCAGGGGTATGGATTTTCCAGATTTTCACCTCAATTCCACAACTTGCCAAACTGGATAAACACGGCCACTTTGCACATTCAGATGTCAGCAAGAGCAGTGGGCAGAGCTCCTACGAGACGGAAGAGGAGGAAAACATTGTGTCCGACCAGCAGGTCCGTGATTATGGCCGTGGTGAAGCCGGACACCCTCACTTGAGAACCAGACAAGGATGCTGTTGCTTCAGGACGTCTGCGTCCGGGCACTGTCACCACAGGAGAAAGGGTCACCCCAGCAGACCTCAGCCTCACTCATGCCTGAGTGAAGAAAAGGAAGGAAGGAAGGAACTGGTGGTAACCCAGCAGGGCGTTCACAGGGACCCCAGCTCCTCCCCGAGAGAAATTCCAGAGTCACTCCCAACAGGAGCTCACCCGACACCTGCATTGCAGGCCCTCACACGCGCTCCTTGACCCCAAACATGAATATGTTGAGTAAACGAACAAATGTCACTCCCAGGTACAGTCACAAGAACCCCCACCTTTTAAGATGACCCCTGTACCACAGAAGCACACAGACATTTCTATTTATAGGATCCAGTGTTGCTCCAGGAAAATTCATCAAAAACGTGGCCTTGAAAACGGAAAGATCACCCCTTCCCTGTACCTACCTCGTACCTCCCCTAGGCCCACCCACCTGCTCTGCATCCTCAGGTACACACACCTGATGATGTGCCTGTGACTAATATTAGTGGCAGCTGTTCCAGAAGCAGGGACGGTGGTGGTAATTGTTCCACTAGAGTACTCACACATTGCTTTGCAATTTTAATCCTCAACCGAGTGAAATAATTCCTGGGGCCTCATCTACATTGAGACAGAACAAAAAACATCCAGCTACAGTGCAGATGAACTTGCAAAGAAGGCTGAGGAACTCGGTTCCTACACAGCCCACCCGGGACGCACAGTAGGCAGTGTACAGCAAATCCAAATCCAAACCACGGGGCTTAATTTCCCTAGAGAATAAAGGAAGACTCCCTTCTTCTGCTTTTGTAGGACATTTACTTTAGAAAGTGTGGGAATTCCTTCTCTGTCTCTTTGAGGCGTGTGCACATCTTTTAAAGGCAGAACCCACCTCTGACACTACCACAGCTCAGAATGTTTCCTGCAGACGTGGGCGTGTGTCTGAAATGTGATGGAGGAGGAAACCCCGTCTCCCTGCTCCTGGGAGGAGAGGCCGGAGTCCAGTGGGGCCTGGCTCCAAACACAAAACTGCCTCCATTATCAAGACAACAGTGATTGTTTATCTGGGACAGCTGCACGAAGGGTGAGACTCTTCTGCCTCTGCAGCCTCTCATCGGTTCTGCCCCGACGCCACCTGTGATGCACATCACACTATGGTTTCATGCTGGGTCCAGAGTAAATGGTTTGTGGAATGTCCCCCCGTCCTGTCACAGCTCAGGTCTGAGTGTCCCTCCACCTGTCACAGCCCAGGGTCTGAGTGTCCCTCCACCTGTCACAGCCCAGGGTCTGAGTGTCCCTCCCTCCCGTCACAGCCCAGGGTCTGTGTGTCCCCTCCCTCCCGTCACAGCCCAGGGTCTGAGTGTCCCCTCCCTTCTGTCACAGCCCATTGCCTTTCGACAATGTTGAAGGTGACCTAAAGGTCCAGAAATCCCCTCACCCTCTGTGTCTGGGAAATGGCTTCCTGAAAAGACCCCTCCCCACAAAGACTCTGCTGAGACTCAGGAGCCCCCCTTTCCTGACCAGGCCACACAGACCCAGTCCCTCCCCGGGCTCATCAGCCAGGAGCTGACCCGCTCCTTCCCAGGATCTGTGAGAACAAGGGCTGGTGACCCACGCGTCCCCCTCCTCCCCGGCCCGAACTGCAGCCGCCGGGTCAGAAGCCCTGCTCAGGGCACCTCCTGAGTCTCCTGAGTCAGGGCCCTTGATCCACGTGCCGTCAGGCCACCTTTTGTGCCAACCCCTCGCCTGGGCCTTTATACTTGTGTTTATTTACTCCTCTCCACGGAGAAACCGCCTTTGCCCCAACTCTCCAGATGCTTCCAGACCTTGTCAGGAATTCTCTCTGTAGTCATAGTCCCCCCTCTACAGCAACAGTCCTCCCCTATTGTTATATCCCCCCTCTACAGTAACAGTGCTCCTCTATTGTTATAGACTCCACTCTCTAGTAACAGTCCCCCCTCTAGTTACAATGCTGCTCTATTATCATAGTCCCCCCTCTGCAGTAATAGTCCTCGTCTATAATAGTAGCCTCTGTACAGTAATAGTCCCCCCTCTACAGTGATAGACCTCCCTCTATTTTAACAGTCTCGCCTGTACTATAATAGCTCCCTCTCAACAGCAACAGTCGTCCTCTATTGTAATAGTCCCCCCTCTATGGTAAGAGTTCCCTCTCTACAGAAATAGTGCTGCCTCTATTGTAATAGGCCCTCTCTACAATGGTCCCCCTCTGTTGTAATAGTCCCTCCCCCTACTAGCACACTCTCATCCCCTTGTTATAGTCCCCCTTCCTCCTCGCAATAATTCTTTTGAAATGAAAGTCTCCTTTCTAACCCAGACTTGATTTTATTTTATAGGCCTAAAGGGACTGCAAGGATGACATAAAGCAAAACACTTATTGCAGGCCCCAGGCGTGGGTGGTGCAGAGGCGCCTGTGGATGTATGTCCCCCATCATGTAGGGCACCTGTTAGTGTGTCTGTGTCACCACTGTGGGGACACCTGTAGGTGTGTGTCTGCATCCCCATCACAGAGGAGACCTCTCCCCAAACACAAGTCACATGACACTCAGGGTGTCTTGCCAACTCCTGTCCCCATGTCCCCAGGCCTCTCCCCATAATTCAGGTCACTTGAGCACTGAGTGTCATGTTCCTTCCTGTCCCACATCCCCCAGTTTCATCAGGATCTGGGTCACTTTGTAACAAGTCCCTCATCCTCCCATTTGCCCCCGCCTGAGAAGGTCATGGGTTTGTCCATGGTGGGAAGAAAATCGTCCCATCCCCGTGGACACCAATCCTGCACCTGCCAGGCACTCACCTCCTCCCAGGTGCACAGGTGTGAGTTACCCACCCTCTCCCTCGACCGCAGACCCCAGCTCTCTGGTTTCCAAGTACAGATTCAGCAGTAGCGCAATCCCAGAACCGGCCAGGCGATCCCCCCTCCCCAGGTGCAGCCCCAACCTCGAGCCCTGGGACAGCACCCCTGGGAGTAGGCCAGGTGCCCCCCGCACACCCCGATGCCTTCCCCACCCAGCACTTCCTCAGCTGGATCCACTCCACCCTTTGCCTCCACAGTCAACACGGGACTCAGGTGGGCACAAGGAGACACTTTCACAAAATGCAGCGGGTGCAAGATGAGCTAAGGGCCCAGTCCCGCTGACCCTCCTGGATGGCCAGGTGAGACATCTGAGCCGCCAACCTGTGACCATGGCAGGAAGGCTCCTTCTGTGACCACGCTCACCTGCAGGTGGTGGCTGGCACAGAGTAGACACTCAGGAAATAGCTCTCAGGTAAAGGAATGGATGGGCATGCTCACTGCTGGCGAACCCACTGGAGTTCCCATTGTCCTCCTCACCTGGGCCCCCGGACGCTCAGCGGGCTCCCCAAATGCTCGCCAGGCCCCCTAAATGCTCACCAGGCCCCCTGGAATGCTCAGCGGGCTCCCCAAGTGCTCTCCAGGCCCCCCAAATGCTCAGCGGGCTCCCCAAATGCTCGCCAGGCCCCCCAAATGCTCACCAGCCCCCTGAATGCTCACCAGTCTCCCCAAGTGCTCAGTGGGCTCCCCAAATGCTCACCAGGACCCCGGAATGCTCAGCGGGCTCCCCAAATGCTCACCAGGCCCCTAAATGCTCACCAGGCCCCTGAATGCTCAGTGGGCTCCCCAATCTCCAGGCCCCCAGAATACTCTGCGGGCCCTCGAACACTCAGCTGTCTCCCCGAATGGTCACCAGGCCTCCTGCACACTCACTGGGCCCCCCAAATGTTCACCAGTCTCCCCAAACTCAGCGGGCTCCCAAGATGCTCACTGGGCCAATCAAGTACTCATCAGACCCCCTGAACGTTCAGTGGGCTCCCCAGATGCTCACCCACACCCACCTGCCCAGATTGGATGGCCCTGTCCCCGCAGCATAAGGACAGGAAAGGAGGCCTCAGCCAACCAGTTCCTGCCTGACCCAGACCTGTCCTACCGACTAGGTTAGCGGCCCAGCAGACAGTGGGCTTGTCAACGCCCCCTGTGAGCCACTGTCCAGGGGCTCCTGCCGGCTCAGCGGCTCTGACCCAGCGGGTCTCCTACCCTCTACGCTGGGAACACCGGAGCCTGCGAGCGGACGCTTCCCCCCGGCCCCCACCCCCCACGCCGCCCTCCATGCTCTCCTGCTGCCCCTCCAGCCCCTGGGTCCCAGGAAGGAAGGAGGAGTCTGGACCCGAGGGGAGCGCGGACCACCCCTCACCACCGCCCCATCTCGAGCCTCTGAACTGAGACAGGCAGGCGGTACTCACCAAGACAGCTGACTTCGGAGAGTTTCCGGCTGCAGCTCCGCCTGTCTGCCAGTCCCCTGGCACTTGCCGAAACACTCCTGCGCCGTGATTGGATGTGAAACTCCCACTCCTGTGAGGGTGTGGGAGGAGCCACCTCCCAGAGCGGACCTGCCCCAAGCGCAACACAGGGAGCAAATCCCCAACTCAAGAAGGGACGTCATTGTGGGGACAGCACTGCCCAGCTGGAGGCACGGATCCTCTCCGCAGGGACCAGGAGCTGAGAAGTGGAGAAAGGGAGCCACTACTCCCTCCGAAGACTTAAATGTGTTCTCTATTTTAACACAAAACTTCGCATTACAACACCCTCGTCAAATCAAAGAGTCAAAATAAGATTGGAAAGGGCAGATTACACCTGAATTGATGCAGTCTTCCTAACAGCCAAAGAAGATGCTATCGACGGTGCCGCTGTTGTCTACGAAGAAAACAAAAGGAGGCTCACCAGCCTCACTATCGTCACTGTGTACTCTGAACATTCCAGGTCTCCTCACTGTTTGCACAGTTTGAGATAAAAAGACAAAGCACCTCAGCCTCCTGAAAGATAAGCCATTGTTGCATTTCACCAAAGCCAGATCTTTCTAAAGATATCCATAGCATGTTGGAGGTAGAGAGGATATTACACTCATCAAATCCAGTATCCTCCAGGTGGCCTATGTGATGCTAACAGCTTTCTCAGAAGAGAGGGTCTGTAGTCAACACTATCTATGGCTCGTTGTTGTTTTTCTGACCCCACAGACTCCTCAGAGCCTCGTGGTTGCTAAAATGCAGTTTTATACATTTTACAATATTAATAGAATGCATATCACAATATATAATAAGTACTATAGATAAACCTTAATATTTATCATGTTAAAATTCTTACGTCATGTACATGATATACTATGATATATCTCTTAGATATTATCTATATAAACTTTAATATTATACTTTGGGGGGGGCGTTGGTTTGTTTTTTTTGCCACCAATCGCGGCTTGTGGGATTTTAGTTCCCTGACCAGAGACTGAACCCGGGCCCTTGGCAGTGAGAGCAGAGTCCTAACCACTGGACGTCCAGGGAATTCTAATATTATAGCTTGAAAACCCTATGGAGTAAGCAGGTTTTTTTTTTTTTTTTAAACAACTTTCCTGACCCCAGAAGCGCTGTTACAAAGACGGTTTTTAGAGCACCCTGAGTAATACAGATGTAGTCCAATTGCCTTGTTTAACAGCTTAAGAAACAGAGACACAAGATTGATGCCAATTTCCCAGGGGCAGTGCCAAGATCAGGACACAAATATCCTAATTCCCAGTGTCCTTTCTTCTCTGCCACTGAACTTCTTCCTAATGAATACTGGTCTCTGGACTTGGACAAAAGGCCTGTGCAGGTATCTATTCAAGAAATCTGATCCCTCAAGTGTAACGTCTGACATAAATGATGTATTTAATCCTCATAAACTATGCACTAAACATTATGTAAAGTTTTGGATTTGGGTTATAATTGGAGTATTCATATATCCCAATTCATACATCACGTGCCCGGGTTTGCAGCAAGAGCCCAGCTTGGTCAGGTGCCAGGCATTTCCTCACCTGTGATTTACGGCACTTCCCCAAGGCTTCTTTTACGTCAATTACCCAACGTTTATGGCCGGTGACCCTGCTTTACGGCACAACCCTCAGGCTTTGTTTACATCAATTTCCCGGGTTTTGCGTCATCCGACCCTGGTTTACATCACCTGGCGCTGCTTTACAGCACCTGACCGTGCTTTACGGCACAATCACAGGCTTTGTTTATATCAATTTCCCAGGCTTTATTGTCACCTAACCCTGATTTATGCCACGCCTGCCCCTCAATCCTGCAAAAGCTGGAGGAGTTCAAAAACTGGAACTTCCTGTTGATTCCAGGGCCTAACATAGCTTTTGGCATAGAGGCTATCAGTGATTGTTCAACAGACGGATAAGTGAGAACCTTCTGCTGAGGGGAGGAGTGTGGGGATGTAGGACCCTATGGGGCCTTTCTGAGACAGGCCTTCCCCCGTATCCTCTGCTTTAGCTCCTCTCTGAAGTCCTTAGATGATAGTATTTAATGCACATTTCCTGAGTTGTTTTGCAGATCTGACCCCCCCGGCCCCGCCCACCACCACCAGGTGGAAGAACTACTTGATGACCATGAGCACATAGCCCCAGGCCACCGGGAGCCTAAGGCTTGATAATGTTAACCCCTGTGACACCACCCTGCTACCTCACCATCAGCCAGAGAACTGTGCACAAGCTGATCACATACCATTTGATCCACCCCTCCCTCACCTGGCTTTTAAAAATGCTTTGCTGAGGGATTCCCTGGTGGCGCAGTGGTTGAGAGTCCGCCTGCCGATGCAGGGAACGCGGGTTCGTGCCCCGGTCTGGGAAGATCCCACATGCCGCGGAGCCGCTGGGCCCGTGAGCCATGGCCGCTGAGCCTGCGCGTCCGGAGCCTGTAGCTCCGCAACGGGAGAGGCCACAACGGTGAGAGACCCGCGTACCGCAATAAAAACAAAAACAAAACAAAAAAAAATGCTTTGCTGAAACTCTTCGGGGACCTCGGGGTTTTGGGGGGCATGAGCCACGTCTCCTTGCACAGCCCTACAATACACCCTTCTCTGCTCCAAACTCCGTTTCGGTTTGTTTGGCCTCACTGTGCATCAGGCACATGAACTTGTGCTAACAGGGACAGGAGAAAGAGGCTCAGACGGCAAGGGAGAAGGAAGTTTGCGGAGAACTCTCAAGAGAACGGGCACAGGGATGAGCACAGCCTGCGCACCAAAACACCACGGTTTTTACATGCTCCGTATTCACGACCCCCAGCACCATTTTCCAGATGCCCAAACCCACGCAGGCCTGCAGCTTGAAAACTCCAAGCCCAAGAGTCAAGCCAGGTATTTCTGGGTCTAGAGTTCTGCCTCTAGAGAAACAAAGGGCAGTCAGACCGCAGAAAGCCTGTTAGGCTGTCCGGCCAGTGGGCCACCTGGCCAGGCTAGAAGTGCCCCATCAGGTGCTGAAGGCAGACCTATATCCCCTCTACGAGGCGAGGCAATTTGGGCCGGAGAGTCAGAGGAGCCCGGTAATGAACCCCTCCTCTCTGCACGTCCTTGGGGTTCTGCCAACCCCATAGATCCAGAGAAAACTCTAATTTGAAAAGATACATGTACCCCAAAGTTCATAGCAGCACTAGTTACAAAAGGCAAGTCATGCAAGCAACCTAAATGTCCATCAACAGAGGAATGGATAAAGATGTGGTATATATCTACTATGGAATATCAGTCATAAAAAAGAATGAAATAATGCCATTTGCAGCAACATGGATGGACCTAAAGATTATCATACTAAGTGAAGTAAGTCTGAAAGAGAAAAACAAATACCATATGATATCACTTATATGTGGAATTTAAAATATGGCACAAGGAACTTACAAAAAAGAAACAGACTCACAAACATAGAGAACAAACTTACAGTTGCCAAAGGGGAAAGGGAGGGGAAGGATAAATTAGGAGTTGGGGAGTAGCAGATACAAACTACTAAATATGAAATAAACAAGTCCTAATGTAGGGGGGAGAAATCAGGAGAAAGAGCCTTCCCCCAGCGTGTGCACACTCTCACACACTCTACTCTCACACACACACTTAAACCAGCCCAGAGAAAGAGCCCAGGCACTGACTTTGATGTCACAATGATCAGGATCTAAAAAGCAATTACATTGCCAGGCATTGTGCTAATACAACTATTGAAATCGCTAGTCGAAAACACTTAATTGAATAACTTAGATAGACTGATCTAAAAGCTGATTTAAAATTAACCTGGCACGTGCATACCATCTAAATAATTACTCTCCTATGATCTAGTCTCTCATTAAAATCAAATTTCATTAGGAGAAATTATACATTTTGTACCATGATTGGGAAGAAGCCACATTCACTCACCTGCTGATGAAAGTGGAGGGTTATCATTAGAGCTAAAGGGGAAATGAGTGTCCCGCCTTCCCAGGTGCAGTGAGATCCGTCTCTGCAACAAACCACCCTCCCTCCCATTTTTCCCTCAGGAAATGATGGAAACCTATTAAAATTGCATCAACTGAGAACCCCAAACCAATAGGTGCCTGAGTGGGAAGGAGGGGCCGTGGGGCTGGGGGGGGGGGTCTCGCAGGAGCACCTCAAACTCAGAGGAAACTCAATAAGCCGGCATCTAACGCATTTCTCCACAGGTAAGAAAACCCAGGCCAAGGGGGAAAGGGGCTTGTTGGAGACCAAACACCAAGTCGGCGGCAGGAGTGGAAGCAGAAGTTATTTTCAGCAGAAAGCTCCCCCCAGCCCCCCCAAACACTTCTCCTTTCGACTCACAGTTTCCTGCCACACGCCGGACCTGAGGAGCTCCTGACGCCGCGCGTTGCTCCGTAGAGGAGCTTTTGGCTTGGACCAGGCTCCTTAGGCCACGCCCAGGGGTGGTCCCAGGCTGCTGAGGAGTTTTCTCTGGTTCGCAAATGTAGCCAGCTGCCTGCCATTGGCTAATCTGGGCCCGGTTGAAGAGGCCCACGTGTGGGAGGAGGGTCGTGACTGCACCGCCGTCCGACGTGCCTGAGGCGGGGAACCTCTTAGCCAGTGTCTGAGCACCGGGCGCTGTGTCCTGGTTTTTTGGAAACCTTTGCAGTGACCTTGATAATATTTTATAAGTGGATCTCCCACTCCGCATATTTATGAGATAAAGAATTTCCCCCCCCTTAAAATTCAAGAGGGACATTCTCTTAGAATGAACAGGAAGACACAGGATGCTCCCAAATGATCTACTACTTGGAGGATTTTAAAATTCTAGCGAGAAAATGTAACGGAGAGGACGCTATGGGGCCTTCCCGGGACAGGCCTTCCGCCGTATCCTCTGCTTTAGTTCCTCTCTGAAGTCCTTAGATAATAGTATTTGATGCACATTTCCTGAGTTGTTTCACAGATGTGAAACCCGCCCCCCCCACCTCCCACCAGGTGGAAGAACTACTTGATGACCATGAGCACGTAGCCCCAGGCTATCTGGAGCCTAAGGACTGATAATGTTAGCCCTGTGGCGCCGCCCTGCTACCTCACCATCAGCCAATCAGAGAACTGTGCACAAGCTGACCACACACCCTGCAACCCGACCCCACCCCACCCCACCCCCTGGGCTTTAAAAATGCTTCGCCAAACCCTCCCGGGAGCTTGAGGCTTTGGGGGACGTGAGCTGCCTCGACTCCTTGCATGGCCTTGCAATAAACCTTTCTCTGCTCCAAACTCCAATGTTTCAGTTTGTTTGACCTCACTGTGTGTCGGGCACAATAACTTGCGTTAACAAAACACTCATTCTCTTCACCCTCTTGGGCATCAGCAGCAGGTGAAATGGCTGCACTCCTTATTTAACCCTCCGATTTCTCCAGAACCTTTCCTTCAAGGAGAAATCTCTGGGCTCTGCAGGGACTGTGAGTGGTGACAGGTAACTCTGAGACTGATAATCTGGAGGAAAAGAGACAAGGTCTGGAAGCATCTGGAGAGTTGGGGCAAAGGCGGTTTCTCCGTGGAGAGGAGTAAATAAACACAAGTATAAAGGCCCAGGCGAGGGGTTGGCACAAAAGGTGGCCTGACGGCACGTGGATCAAGGGCCCTGACTCAGGAGACTCAGGAGGTGCCCTGAGCAGGGCTTCTGACCCGGCGGCTGCAGTTCGGGCCGGGGAGGAGGGGGACGCGTGGGTCACCAGCCCTTGTTCTCACAGATCCTGGGAAGGAGCGGGTCAGCTCCTGGCTGATGAGCCCGGGGAGGGACTGGGTCTGTGTGGCCTGGTCAGGAAAGGGGGGCTCCTGAGTCTCAGCAGAGTCTTTGTGGGGAGGGGTCTTTTCAGGAAGCCATTTCCCAGACACAGAGGGTGAGGGGATTTCTGGACCTTAGGTCACCTTCAATATTGTCGAAAGGCAATGGGCTGTGACAGAAGGGAGGGGACACTCAGACCCTGGGCTGTGACGGGAGGGAGGGAACACTCAGACCCTGGGTTGTGACAGGAGGAGGGACACTCAGACCCTGGGTTGTGACAGGAGGAGGGACATTCAGACCTGGGCTGTGACAGGAGGGAGGGGACATTCATACACCTTGGTCACACCCAGGACATCCTCACATCCTGTCCTCTAACCTGTAGCCCCCGAGGTCACACTCAGAATGTCATCACATCCTGTTATCTGACCACTGGATGTCATCGTCACAGTCAGGACATCCTCTGGTCCCCTGTGAGGGTCACTATTATTCCTGTTATTATGATTCTAGTTTGGGGTATTTTCTCAATTCATATTTATGTCACATAAGAGCTTAGAAAACTGAGATCTTTATTTTGTAGTCAAAATCTTTCTCTCCTTAGGTCTTCTGGCTTTCAGCAGAAAATCGTCAGCTTTGTAAGTCATTCATGTGGCTTCTGAGAAATGGGACTACTGTGATTGATGTCTTGGCTGCAAAATACCCAGTCTGCTCAGAATATGGTAGAGAGATGAGGAAGCATGAGTATCCAAACAGTCTTATGATCCGAATTAGATCTCCTAAAATTCACATGTTGAAATCTTAACCCCCAGTACCTCAGAATGTGACTGTATTTGGAGATAGGGCTTTAAAAGGTGTAATTTACTTAAAATGAGGTCATTGGGATGGGTCCTAACTCAATTAAGAAGAAGAAATTAGGACACAGGCATGTACAGAGAAAAGACCACGTTAGGATACAGGGAGAAGGTTGCCATCTTCGAGCCAAGGAGAGGGACCTCAGAAGAAATCAACCCTGCTGACACCTTTTTTTTTTTTGGCCATGCCACGTGGCATGTGGGATCGTAGTTCCTGATCAGGGATCGAATTCGTGCCCCCTGCAGTGGAAGCGAAGAGTCCTAACCACTGGACTGCCAGGGAATTCCCCAACCCTTCTGACACCTTGATCTCAGACTTCCAGCTTCCAGACTTGAGAGAAAAACTTCTTTGTCGAAGCCACCCAGCCTGCGGTATTTGTAAATTCAGCCCAAGCAAACTAAAATGCATAGGTATCGCCTGGAAGCAGAGTCCCACCTCTTCCCACACACAGGTGAGATGGTTGCCTTGAAAATGTGAT